CCCCGCGCCGCGCTCGGACCCGCTTTGTGTGGGAGCGCCGGGAGCGGCAGCGGCCCCCGGCGGCCGCGGCGGGGACTGCAACGCGGGGGGAGGAGGATGAAGGGGCGGTCAATTGCCGCCATTGTGTGGGGCGGGGGAAGGGGGGGACACACACACGACACGGCGCTTTGTGTGACGCCCCTTCCCCGGGGAGGCGGCGCTGGCGGCCGCCTTTGTTCGAGCTCCGGTGCTGCCGGGCCCCGGTGACGCAGTTGGGCCTGGACTCGTGTTGGTCCGCAACATTTTTTATTACTTTCTTCCTTTTCATTCTTACATCCCCCTTCCCCGCTCTGGGTGAGATCGATGGTTATCTAACTCTCGGGGAAGGCGGCGGGGGCAGGAAGAGCCCCATCTGCTGCAGCGGGACCGTGGCCGGGCAGCGCTCGCCCTCGGCCGCTCCCGCGAAGTAGGTCATGGAGACGGTCCTTCCCTCCCCTCTCCCTTCTCCCCCGCTCCCCCCCCGCGCCACACGTGACGGGCGCCGGCAGCCGGATTAGCTGCTCCTGCTGCGCCGGGAATCCAGCCCGCAGTGCCGCACTGAGATGGCGCCGGGGCTGCGCCACCGATGCCCGAGGCAGCGCTTGGGAAGTGTTGCCCCCGCCGTGGGGATCTACTGCGGGAAGATTCGTCTATCGCTTCTTGTTGATAGTGGAGAGTTGCCTTGACCTAGTAGAGAGCCTTTGTTTTTGTTTACTGTTAAAAATAAGAACCATTCTTAAGTCCCGCGTTGATGCTTCGATCAACTAGAAAGATGACATTTTAAATGGTAGCTTTAAGAAGGATGTTACGGGATCAGCCGTGGGAGAATTCTTAAGGAACTGAACTACTTAAGGCGGCAGCTCACGCAGCTGAGCGCCAGAAAGGACAGTGCGTTGGAGACTTTGCTTTAGATTAATTTGTTGGAAAACACTTCTGTGCAATATACTACATAAAATTAATTTGTATTTAAACATTCCCTGTTTTTCTGATACAAGTTTATAATCCTGCCATGCAGGCAGACAAACGTAATAAGTTGGTTCTTAAGATTTATTGGTTTCTCACTGCTTTCTGAAATGTGTCCATGTTGTGTTTGTCTTAAAACTTCTGAGCAGCTCACCAGCACTGCATGAGCTGAACGTCTTTTGGAAAACTTTACTTTCAGACTGGAGGCTATAAACGTTTTGGAAAAACAAACCAAAAAATTGTGTTCCCTGCAGATGTCTACTGACATCTCCTAATGTTTTGTGAGCAGTCGTTGCTTCAGACGTGAAAACTGTCATGTCTTAGTAGTGTTAATGCAGGTAAAAATATCTCCAGTCTTTGCAAATAAAGTGCCCAGCTGAATTTGCATTACTTGTGCTGTAGTTTATGTAGCAAAAAGAATTGTCACTGACCCACATCCGAATGTGTTTGAGTGCACTGAAAGTCAGTCTATTGAAAAGGGCTCTTTGGCCAGTGTGTAGTGTGAAGCAGAAGTCCGTGGTAGCGGTTTGGTGGGTGTGA